CATTCCAGGGGAGAAATAAACCAGGTTTAAAGGGAATCTTTTCTAACACTTACAATGAATATTGAACTTTGGATCACTTCAAAAATGCAATCAATGTCAAATGAGATGATTAAGTGCATTACATTCTCCCCTCCAAGTGCAATACAAATTTCAAACAGGCATAATTATAACAAGACCAGCTGTGACACCTCTGTGACTACTAAGTAGTAAAAGCATCTTCGTCACATCTAGGCTAAAAACAAAGAAACACGGACTACACATACAGCAGCCATAACACTACTACCTAATGTCTCATAAATATACTTTCAAATATACAAAATATACAAGTGCTCTGAAATTCCCCAACACTCACACCTAATTGATGATTAGTCAAGTACTTTGAAATACTCCAACAAGCTGAAGTAAATTGACAGTATATACAGAAATAATAAACACCAGATCTTTTCCTCGGACATGATACAAATCCTCCATAGAAAGTGCAGTCATTTGAAACATGAACAAACTTTACCCTCTGAATCTAAATGAGGTATGTGTGTGTTCTTGAACAAATGAGAGTCGGCATTATATAATGATTCTGGTTCATATCTAAAGTACTGGTACCTCAGTTCAACAACTTTAATCTTATATAAAAGAAAACAACCTGGGAACACACATAGAGCATCGATAATTTTGGAGCTGCCATGGTGCTCAGACCTGGTTGCAGTGAGGTATTGTATTAGAGTAAAAGACCTGATGGTAATGAGACTGGAATACCAGAACACAAGTAAAGATAACCATCAACAATATATACTGCTTGCATCAAAACTCATTCTCAAGACACAGCACCTACAAAGGCATGCACTGATCCACAAAGCCTGAGGTGCTTTGGTAAAAAACAATTCCTTAAATTTAGAATAAATTTGAAAAAGGCCAGATAAATCAACTACACGTGGCAACACACAAGGAGAGGCAACACATAAGTCAGAGATTTTTGTGGTGACTTGAAGAGTTGTCTCCCTTGGGCTCTGTGGCTCAGTATAGGCATAAATTCGAAATTATTTGGCTGCAATGCAATAATTGCACTAATCTAACAATGTTTTGTCATTTAGACAGGGCAGGGCGGAACAAATAGGCTGAATTCTATTTGATGTAACAAGTGAATGCTAATTTGTAGAGCTGTCTTAAACTTAGTAATCTAAGCGCTGTCTAAGATTTCAAAGATCTATTTTCTTTCTCAGTAAGAGCATGAACAGTTGAGAAACATGCCAAACTGTCACAATGTGAAAAACAATATAATATAATATTTTGGGGCATTCCTGTACATAAGTGTTATGTCTAGAAATATACAAATTGACCATATTTGCAGTAACATGTGAGTCAGGATTTGATGGGGTCAGAATGGGTACAGCATTGTGCAGAGTCAGAGACACCTGCTTCAAAATACACTCAAGAAAATGGATTAGTTATGGCACATAGCAACGGTAACAGTGTTGCTCGATAGAGCTGGAAATCTGACATCACTGGATCCTGGCCTACACAAAATAGCGCTGATGTTGCGTAACAAAGCTTGTAACATATCTTAATCTACTGATGTGCAGTATTTGTTGGAAAATATATATTACTGGCCATAAAGTGCCTACATCACAAGGGTTGGCATCTCTATCAAATTCTAAGAGTTGGAATCTGTTACAATTTCAAAAATGTTTATGAATGAAGGCTTGATCTCGTCCCTATATGGCTAGAATAATGCCGATGTGACGTAAAGCCCAACTCAACTCAACTCTAACAACTTCAACACTCAGTCTGTGAAACAACATATAGTAATCTTGAATTCCATGACATTATATCATGATGTGTTGTGGTCATATACTTTAAGCAAACCATATACAGCACATAAGGACAGATAGTTTGTACATATTTACAAGGGGTCACTTGTTTATGTGTATAAATGTGAAGAATGCCTGTGTAAGATGGAAACTGATGTATACATGAGAGAGGGACAGACATGAGAGCATCAGAGAGTGATGACAGTAATGTTAGTATCTTGACTCATCTGTAAAACAAAGAAACATAAATAACAAACCCCGAAACATATTCATTCCTTCAAAACACACATTTTCTCATATATGCAGACACTCGTGAACACTTTTGCACATTTGTGCAGATACTATATTCTTGTGAACACATTTTGTTGACTACTGAGATGTTGAGAAACAATATCATGGTAAGCAAGTAGTGCTGGTTATATCTCACAATATGTAAATCGATAATCGGAGCTCGATAATCGGAACTCAGTAATCGATCAATAATCGATTGTAATCATAAACCACACAACAAAAGTCATGTGGGCAATAACCGGACACAATCATAACACTGTGCGAATGAAAAAGCCGATTACTACTACGCTCAAGACAACTAAGGATACTTCCTGTTGAGACACGCACACGAGTACGTTGTTTACATTGCAGTTTTATTAGTCAGAAACTGCATCAGTTATTCAACAAACAAGCATAACAATAAGAAAACATACTTTCTAAAGATTAATTTGATGCCTCCCGAGCCGATTGATAATTGCTGACGCAAGCAGGATCGATTGACTATTCGATCAATTGTTCCAGCACTATAAGCAAGTGTGGCCAAAGATATTGGACATAGATATGGAATAATAATGACCAATAACTCTTCATGTATGTATGTCAAGAAACGACAGTTATTGCTTTTGGTCTAAATGCCCAAGCTAGTTTCAACTCTTCACTTGTATCTCCTATCATAGTATCAATATCACACAGTGTGTCTTAACAAGGGGGATAACTCCATCACAAGGCAATTTCGAAACATGACCACATGCAACCAACATCAAACATCAATGTATTAATGATACTACACAAACATTCTGGCGTAGTACTCAAATGTTACATTGTAGTAATGAATCATGTATTTATTTTTATTAACATTCACAATTATTTTTCATTTAAATAAATACTTTGCAAGTAAATGACTTTTGAATAGCAAGAGATTAATAATATTTGCTTAATTAATACAGATTTTAATATCATGAAGAACCTCAAGAATGTTAAAACATGGACACTACCTTCAAGTTTCCTGACAGAAGCTAAGTCAGCCTAAATTTGTATTTGAAGGTCAGAGAACTAGAGTACTTTTCTACAAATCATTTGCTAACAGAAATCATTTGTTGAATGTGGACAACATAGAGGTGATGATTGAAATCAACATAAAACTGCTAAATCATACATTTCTTTAATCTGATCAATAAAAGTAAATGAAAAGGGCTAAATAAAATTAGAAGAAATAAGACAATGTGCAGTTTTATGTTTGTTTGAACGAAAAAGATTGAGATTTCCTTAAGATATTTTGTTTCTGAGAATAATAGACTTCGGTAAAGATTTGAAGGGTACAAAATAGGGTGTCATTACAAAACTACATGTATACCCCGACAGCGACTTTGAAATTTTAAATCATCTTACCTGTTGGCCAAGTTAAAAGAAAATATACACCAAACAGCAGTGATGACATAGCTCTTCAGATACTTGAGCACTACTAGCCATTGGTAGGTATGTCATTCCTCAAGTGAAATGTAAAAAGTAGTCCCTTGCGAGATCTATCAAGACATGTGGCATTATACATATTTCAACTTAACTTGAGAATTATGATAAATGTTGTTCGTTAATATGTGTGATGAATTTCTACCTGTCGTTATGGATCTTAACTTGAATCAACTTTCAGTGTTAGGCTTAAGACATTAATTTACAATATTTCATGAAATGTTATGTAAAATGGCAGATTTATCACAATCGATGTCTTTTTTTCTGTTCAGAAGTCATTATTTACAAGTCCGATTTGTACATAGTAAATTGATTTAGCACTGTAAAACAGATCACATTTTCTTTCAACAATGAAACCAACAACAATCTTCAAAATATACCCACCCACCCACCCAAATACATCTAGCACCTGAAGTACACCTGTAGTAGCAACACTAAATCAGAGTAAGTCAGGCACCCTACACCATGATCACACGCTATTGACAGGGTACAGCCTCTGACAGTAAAACCCACCCACGTTTTACTGACATATACATGTACATACACATTGTTCATGAAATTTCAAGGGTTCCTTTTCACGACGCTTATGTGATAAATGTTAAAGATTTAAGCGTATCCCAGATTCAAAATCAACAGAAGACCTGAGGACCCCTGGAGCCCCTTGATTCGAACACTGCATATATATTAACACCTGGAAAACAACCAAGCATATACCCCCAACTTCCATATACCTTTAGGAAGAATCACAAGACCATGTGACACTGGTCTTGTGTTGATTCATGCCTGAGGTGACCCGATACCTATGCTTGTACAAGAACACTCACTGTTCTTTAGTTTGAGATGGTCAAAAGCACTATTAAGTGATTCCACTTACAGGTAATTGAAAGTAATTTATCAGTCAAAGAGGCTATGTACCGGTACAATTTAACCCCTATTGATCAGAAATAATGAGTTCTCTAAAGAGCTGCTGGTCGAGTGAACCAGGAAATTCATCACTGAAAGAAACCACTGAGACTGCATTGTATGACATGATACACAGATGGAGGTGAGGAAACTAGATGCATATCTGTCAACTGATGGCCAGGTAGTGTTACACTGAGAGTATAGTCTTAGTAGCTTACGCTGCTTTTAGCAATATTCCAGGTATATCACTATGGGGGACACCAGAAATGAGCTTCACACATTGTACCCATGTGGGGAATCGAAACCTGGATCTTCAGCATCACAAGTGAACGCTTCAACCACAAGGCTACCCTACCACCACTTGTACAGTTACAAACCATGGCCTCCTTTCACAAAGCATTAAGGTGATCGTAAGTCACTAAGGTAACCTTAGTGCAATGTTAAAGAATGGGGGATAAGGTTAACCTTAGTAAAGGTTGCTTCGTGAAAGGAGCTCCATATTAGATAATTGACACCAGTTTCTCTATTTCAAAATTACCATGTCACATTTTAAACAAACACAAATGTATCCCATCAGATAATTAATAGGATGGGGTGAGGAAGGGGAGGGCTTAGTATTTTTCCAGGTGTATAGACATAAAACAGAGAGGTTTTGCTGGCACATTTTCTATCTCTTTGACATTAACATGTATGTGTACTGAGTTTTCTTATATCTTAATGTTTATCTGGACCTTACTATGAACATATGAGTTATCCTGAGATAGTGTCACAAACAAATATCATTCATTTACGGGGTTCCTGCTCAGGTTGTCATCTCACACAATTTGTCATAAGGAGAGCCATCAGTGCCACATCTGAAATACAACTACATGAAGGATTTCATACTTGAACTGTCCGGAAACTCATACCACTTTCACTGAACGTGGACCAGACAATGTCACATATCTTGTGGACTGTCTCTTATGATCGTACTCCATTAGGACTTTTCAAAGCAGTAGATCAAAGAAAGCCTGATAGCCGTATGCTACATTTTCGCACAAAATGACCTTCAATTTGAAATACTATTATGTAGTGAATAATCTTAACATACATCAAACAAAGTAATGATCACAGTTTCTAAAAGTTGTATATAAAACTACCATGTGAAAACGTGTCAGTCATTAATCTTCTCCTCAGTCTACAGCCTTAGATAAACTCTTTCTTCAACAATACAAAAACAGTCTCTTTACATCCAACTTATGTCCCAATCCAATGACACTATTCTTCTGATAGGATTGATATTTGTTCAATGCTGAAAGACCTACAGGTGTAGGTAGCTAATCCTGGCATTGTTTAGAAATACTGATGGATGGAATTGACAGTGGTAACAAAGTACCCATTCGGTGGCTTGCTTCTTCCCTGAGTGGCAGTGGATTACCATGACGACTAGTCACCTTGACAACAGGTTACCACAACGACGGATAATAGAGTCATCACTGTAGCATCAGCTCAGCTGTCACTGCCAACGTGTTCCTCGAATCCCTCGCTTTCCGTGACAAGAGCACGTTCAAGAATGACACGCCCCTCCTTATAGCGCTGGTTCTCCTCTGTTGCAAACTCATAGATCCATCCAAGTTTGGCGTCACAGTTTTTGCATGATACATCCCGGACCATGTGGCGCCCAGTCAGCATGACACGATCCTGCACTTCACTGTAGTTCAGATTCACCACTCTGTTGAACAGGAATGCTCGTCCAGTTGCACCTGAAACGATCCGTAACTCAGGTATGGTTGTGTCAGGACATAATATTCAGAACATGAGTATTTGAGGTAGTATAATAGTATGACACCCGCCACAGAAACTTACCTTGGCCATTCCAAAACAATTACAGGACAAAATTCATTTTAATTCCCTAAATTCCCAAACTGCCTGTCAAGGGGTTTGAAAACATTTCAGCATAACCAAAAGGACAATATGTTTCAGCTCCAAACAAGGTAGGAATGAAACCAAGTATGGAGCAGATAAGAAATATTTTTCTACTTAGGTGACATCTATGAACAGGGTGCAATGGATACAGGACAATATTATTTGCAATTCAACAATATATACAATGAAAACCATTTGTTTTTCAATATTTCTGCTCAGAATTGTTATGAACTTTTACAACTTAGACATAAATATTTAAACATGAAGTCAATGTTTGTGGGTGCACATTTCTGGGCAAAACAGCTTTGGCAATAAAGAATCTCCCTCACACAATATGTTTTAGATTACATTGAATGTCAATTAATATTTAAGAGATAATTTGAGTTGTGATCTCTGAATCATTCCTGTGTTTACAACTGTGTGTTGATTATAATGACGAGATAAAGATGGCGGGTAATGTTCTATATGCACGACACCCAGCTGATTCAACATTCACATGCTAATTAGAGCAGCATGTCTTGCCAGATTCAATTAGCTGCTGTTACTTATCAAATTTACATTATGCACAATTATTCCTTTGGGTACATCATTCTTAAATTTCCGACAAAGTAACTGCTGAGCTTAATTTTCCTACTTTTAACTTATGTACCAGAAGATATAGACGAAGGAATACTTGACCGATGGTTAGGAGTGGAAAGATTGGTTGAACATAGGAACTGTTAATGAATGACCTGACGGTGACACTGAGGGATAGGTTACAACATCAGATGTCAGCATCAAGGAAACACTACACCATCCATCATGATCAACACTAGAGAGAGAGACAGAATGTACAGAAATATCATGAATCTGTTATAAAGACATACCTTGCTTGATTAACCGCAGCGGCCTCCAGTTAAAACTGTTCACTAAATAACAGTAGTAAGAGGTACCACCCATAATTGAACAACTTCCCAAGCAAGCTGCTGGTGAAGCTAAGACTTGTTGAATATGTTCATCTTTGTCACTATGAATATGAAATATTACGAGGAAACCTACACTCCATGGTGGTATCTTATTTAACTATCATAATACAATGTACTATTGCAACAGCTGTACTGTTATTGCAATAGCCTTCTTATCCTTATAATGTAACACATTTATCATGGTGAAAAGTTAAAGAAGACACAGGATGAGTGAGTGAGTATAGTTTAACGCCGCTTTTAGCAATATTCCAGCAATATCACGGCTGGAACACCAGAAATGGGCTTCACACATTGTACCCATGTGGGGGATCGAACACGGATCTTTGGCATGAGGAGCCAACAGTTTAACCAATAGGCTACCCGACCGCCCCAAGACACAGGATGATAAAAGAGATCTGAAGGTCATGATGCAGAATGACAGATATATGTAACACCAGCCACAGGGACATTTTGATGAGGAATATGAATCTTGTAGAGGCTACTGATGTATTACCGACTGCCTATTCAACAATACATGAAATTATGACTGTAAGTCAGAAAGTCCTTATCATATTACTACTGACTGACTAGTAACTATATACAGTAGAAATCAACAAGGATCTGGGACATTTCACATTTCCTTTAGGTTTTAAAATTTCAAGATAAATACAAGTAAATTCCATGCTCTGTTTAACATGTCTGGTGAAGATTAATGTGACTGTTAATGAACTGTTTGAGAGGCATTGTGAGCAATAGGAATGACAAGTCTTTTTGGATGACCGCCGTCTACATGGCACCATCGGCACCATCAACACCCTCAACTGCCTAGTTATTGTACAGTAGAGAAGTTGATCATCCATAAAGACTTGTCATTCCTACGACGGTTAATGTTTTACCTGTAAACCTTGTAGATATCAACTCTGCTCTGTTGGTGAGGGGTGTTTCACAGCTGGCACAGGAGAAGAGGCGAGTCCCTCCAATGTGGTTCAGAAATATACGACCCATTCTGTTAAAACAAATCATTCCAATGTTAGACAGAAATAAAACCAATCTACCTAACGACAACCCACGTTAATTCGTTTGTTTGGATTACAACAGATCTCACTTCATAAAATACCTAACTATATATACTATATGTATATGTATGCACTTAATCACACAGACGCGTGATGCAAACAAGCATAAGTATGTGCCAATAATGGCATTTCAAATATTTACAGTGACTGCGAGTTTGGGATCCGTAGCCCCACCCGATTTATAACTGTACATATGAATAGATCTAGTCCATGTACGAACAACTCTTTCACTGGTCGACCTATCATCGGTCTTTGTCCAAATTCGCTCTGATTTGGGCACACTGGCTGTTTTCAGACATTCACAATTCTTCCTTGACCAACACTGCTCATTGTTTGTTCGCTTTCATGGGACCTAGGATGTCCAAAACGCATCAAATTTCCCTTACATTATCATTTACATCGCCTTGCTGTCGCCAGCTGGTTGCGAGGAAAATATACACATCACGTGACCGATCTATTTATAGACACAAAATGGCAACAAATCCGAATTACGTCTTGTTTATTACTGGTCAGGAATCCGATAAATCAAAGATTATTCTGTTTTGACAAACTATAGTAACATATTCGACGAGAAAATAAAAGATGCAATCTAAAAATCATTGTCCTTCTAATGAATAAACAAATGATGTCAGCACGGTGTTGGTCGGTCAAAAAAAAGATTTCCTGGTTCCTTCATTAACGTTCTCAGCACCTCACCCTTCGCAAATGACGTTCGATAAATCCATGCAATTCTGCAAAATATTACGTACAGATTGCTTATGTCGATCGCCGTTAGGCGGTTAATTCATGACTTCGGCCATTAACAAACAACACTGAGTCAGTGCTCCGCAAATTTTGACAGGCCGACATATTTGCCGTCAGACTGCACGGCTAATATGTGTATTTTGCCTCATTTATTCATGTTCACTGGTATCAGTGAGGGTTTTACTGCATAGACACGACATAATGTATGCATATACTACCTTTAAGCGGCAAAACTGGTCCGATTTTGCCGCAAATTCGCCGAGATCTGACAACTTTCAGTCGTTGATGTTTACCTCTCTCTGAGCAGACAGACCTGAAAACCAAAACATTAGCTGACGTAAGTATCCACGTGGCCTGGCGAGAGGTCGAACGAGAAGGTCATAGGGCAATTGATATGCACGACTATTATAACAACAACTTGTTTCAATAAACAAAGGATGTAGTGGTCGTCTGTTAGATGTCAATGCTATTTTTACAAATTGACATGTTGTTATAACAGTTCAACTATTTTGTATGAAAGGTTGGGCATTCTCCGTATGTAACAAGAACGGTATGAATATAAGCTATACAATAAAAATACAAATGTATGGAGGAAAGCATACTCCATAACTATAGACTACCGTCTGTCTGTCTGTCTGTATGTCTGTATGTCTGTATGTATGTATGTATGTATGTATGTATGTATGTATGTATGTATGTATGTATGTATGTATGTATGTATGTATGGGAGTACTGCACTTTACCGGGCGCACTTTTTCAGATTAATTAGCGCTGCTGGGGTTCCCTAACCCTAACCCTTACCCTTAACCCTAAGGATCGTAAAGGGTACCTAACCCCAGGGATACTCTTATAGAGTCTCCCTGCTAACCCTAAGGATCGTAAAGGGTGTTATGTATGTATGTATGTATGTATGTATGTATGTATGTATGTATGTATGTATGTATGTATGTATGTATGTATGTATGTATGTATGTATGTATGTATGTATGTATGTATGTATGTATGTATGTATGTATGTATGTATGTATGTATGTATGTATGTATGTATGTATGTATGAGTGTATGTATGTATGTATGTATGAGTGTATGTGCGTGCGTGCGTGCGTGTCCTCTCAGTTGGCATATCTCATTTTGATAAATATGTATCATATGAATTGGTAAAACACTGTTTACTTGTGCCATCGCCTCAGCTATAGACTGTCTTCTTGCAGTCAGGTAGTGAGTATGGTTTAACCCCAATGCACAATGTTATAGTACTATCTCTGCGTGTCAGGTCCAACATGAGACGTCATACGTGGTAAAGGTCCATCTCCCGTGAAACCAAAGGCCCGGATACAGCGTCTGACCCTCTGACAAATCCGGCAGATTCGCCAACGGTCAGATAGAAGTCTACAACCCGCCGGCCCCAGTGTCTGACTGTATATTTCACAATGACTTTGACTGAAGTTGTTATATGTGACATGTGACACTTGTTTGTTGTTCATAAATCTTATGTTTGTTAATAATTTCAATGCCAATTATAAGAAATGTTAAATCTGAAATGTGTGTTTAATTTTATTCTATGGGTCCTGTGAATTATCAGTGGGTCAGACAGATATCTGAAACTTACAGGACCCAATGTCCTGTTACTTTGAAACACCATTCGTGAACACTGCCCGGATATAGTGCTGAGTTTAGTTATAGGCCACACTCAGCAGTATTCCAGTTATATGGTGGCGGTCTGTAAATAATCGACCAGACAATCCAGTGATCAACAGCATGAGCATCGATCTACGCAATTGGGATACGATGACATGTGTTAACCAAGTCAGCGAGCCTGACCACCCGATCCCGTTAGTCGCCTCTTACGACAAGCATAGGTTACTGAAGATCAACTTTGACACAGAGTTTCACGGGTTGATCTAGTGCTGAAACACAGAGACAATGCCCACATCTAGACGGATCCTGTTTAATGATACAACCGCCTGCAGTTCAGTAACTGAATGTTCATGGCAAACATTCTGTAACCTAACATTCACAATGCATACAAAATGAACTTGCAAATGGGCTCTGACATATACGAGAAGCAAATGTCAAAACGTCAGTGCTGATTGGTTGGAAGTGCTAATGCATGGAGGTATCAGATTTTGTTTAGACTTTCGGCGTGAATCTGGGAATCGAACACAGTACTAGTTTCATGATGTGGCAGAACTGGTATCACACGAGATAATCGTTTGTGTTTGATCCTTCATCCAAACGTTTGTCTCCAATGAAAGCCAAAATGTTCCGGCCTGTGTGAAATAATGAATCACAAGTTTCATACCGTTTGTAACTTTTGAGAACCTATTTTTGTTTACTGTGATGTGTTTGGGGTAAAGCCCTGAATAGGTTTAGTTATTTTTATCAAACCAGTTTGCATCCATTGTACTGACTTAGGCCTTACGATCCGAGAAATTGTTCTATTTTATTGTTTAATGCATAATAGAGTTGATATTGTATAAACTAACTTGTTTCATGTGAATGTAAAATAGGTAAACAGAGTCAAGGATATCTACAAAAACATATTGTAAACACTATAAATTCATTGAAGGAAGAAAAAATGACAGGTTGAGAATCACCAGTACAAGTCATACATTGACTGCAAAATTAAATCAACACTACTGAGAACAATCCACAGACAATAAATATCGCAATTTACCTCCAATAAACATCAATGTGAGAAATAATGCTAATTGATTGTGTGAACACACTAACCACTTTATTGTTTGCTGATCGACAGGTCTGCTAACTTAATTGATGATACTTCCCTTTTCTTGTTTATATGCCTTTTGCTTTCATATGTTAAGAGTTTTATAAAATTGTTCTCGTTTGACATTCCTTTCAAGCCATAAGCTTTAGATACAACTAAATAGGTTATCTCAGGTTTCATGTGTAAAGCAGTGAAAATGTATTTAATAAGAATCTCTACAGCGGTTGGGTTGTATTGTGTTCTTGCGGTACAACAGAGTGCTGTCAACATTATGATGTAAATAAGTAGTTTCATAGAATATAGCATCATTTAATCAGCTCGCGTGATTATGCGCAGTAAGGGCCCTTCGTCAAGTTCCGGTGCCTCCATCTTCTTGACATATAAAAGCCGGTAGAGGAAACACTGTGATCAGTGTGTGTTGACCAAGTTATTCAACATGTTGCGGTGGTTATCAAACGACGACCGTCGAAAGAAAGAGCCCGAGGTGTACGCGAATGTAGTTGAAGGGCTAAAGAAAGTCTACAAGCAGAAATTACTGCCATTGGAAGAGCACTACAAATTTCACGATTTTCATTCCCCGCCCCTCGATGACGCTGATTTTGACGCTAAGCCTATGATTTTGCTAATCGGCCAGTATTCAACGGGTAAAACCACATTCATCAGGTACCTTCTGGAGGCAGATTTCCCCGGAATAAGAATCGGCCCTGAACCAACAACGGATAGATTTATAGCTGTTATGTACGGTGATCAAGATGGCATGGTTCCTGGTAATGCGCTTGTGGTTGACACGAAGAAACAGTTTCGTCCCCTGTCAAAGTTTGGTAACGCCTTCCTCAACAGATTCCAGTGTTCCATGGTAAAAAATTCAGTCCTGGATAGTATTACAATTGTTGACACACCTGGAATTTTATCTGGTGAGAAGCAGAGGGTTGACAGGGGGTATGACTTTGCAGGTGTCTTGGAATGGTTTGCAGAGAGGGTTGACCGGATTATCCTTCTATTTGATGCTCATAAACTTGACATTTCTGATGAATTTCGCAGAGCAATAGATGCAATTAAGGGCTATGATGAGAAGATTAGAATTGTCTTGAACAAAGCCGATATGGTTGATCATCAGCAGTTAATGAGAGTTTATGGAGCGTTGATGTGGTCCCTTGGAAAAGTGCTCAATACACCAGAAGTAGCAAGAGTTTATATTGGATCATTTTGGGATCAACCATTACACTTTGATATGAACAGAAGGCTCTTTGAACTAGAAGAAACAGATCTGTTTAAAGATTTGCAAAGTTTACCAAGAAATGCAGCCCTTCGGAAACTGAATGACCTCATCAAGCGGGCACGACTTGCCAAGGTAAGAACACAATGATCAGAATGTTTGACATTTTTTACATACTTGTGATAATACTTCCTATTAACATGCTTGGCACAGAGACGAAGGATAGATGAGTTACCTGTGAGTGTAGGCCAACATAGGAATGTCAATAATTAGTCGGGTTTAGATGACAGTGTAATATTGACACATGGTATTTTAGAGAGAGTTATTTTATTGAATTAGGACCCTAGTGGAGCAAAATTTATCCACACTTAAACATATGGGGAATGATTAGATATAAGCTGTTCCTTACTGAAGTCAAGTATAAATATTTTTTAAACATTTTGAGTGATTGTTTTATTCAGTTAAATCATGTATTTATTGTAATCGTTTACAGTTGTGACACACATCTAAATCTCACTCTGTCATCTAAATATCAAAACTTTTAACATCATTTCTTCATGTGTTATATAATAGCTGATTCAACATCACTAATCAAATGATACACAAAAAAAAAGCAAGAACATTATCTACACATTTATATTGACAACTACAAATATGGCAAAGTGCAAAGTGCAAAGAGGCATGAAGTTCATGTTGTTTCCTTTAGATGAATATCAGATTGTCATTATGATTTGGGGCAGTAGGGTAGCCTAGTGGTTAAAGCATTCACTCATCACGCCGAAGGCGCGGGTTCGATTCCCCACATGGGTACAATGTGTGAAGCCCATTTCTGGTGTCCCCTGCCATGATGTTGCTGGAATATTGCTAAAAGCGGCGCGTGAAACCAATCTCACTCACTCACTCATTATGACTGATAATAAATCCTGTCTACAGCATGACCAAGACACTATTGTCATGATGTTGTATATTTACTGATCACGGAAGACATCTCTGGTATTTCAAACTTAGTTCTTCCTGAAACATGTGAATCCCTCATTACTGATTAGTCAGCAAGCCAGTGTTATGTCATTGTGGGTGGTTGTGACATGTTATGATGCTGTTATTGTTCAGGGAATGAAGTAAGGACCTGCAGGCGTGTTTGTTAGGTCAGAGATGAGGTCATTCTGTCTTGTTGGTTGTTGATGCTTATGTCAGTTGCCACTTTTCCGTCAGTCACAGTGGCAAATTTGACGTTAATAAATTGCAGATCAAGCTGACTTATATTCAGATTTTGGTAACAACTTGGAGGAAGTTGTTAAAAGTTTTATTCAAGTGCACTAACAAAATCACTACAGATGATCATGTAATTTATGTTTCAATTAATGTTTTCTTTTCTTTATGTCTTGTAAAATGAAAGAAAAAAAACACCAACGAAACGTTTCTGTCACAAGCCTCTGTCAGACTGTTCTCTGAGCTTTCAGTAGTTGTAAATGCCTACAATGGTTACATTGTAAACAGACAAAGTGACATGCCAGATATATATTTCATGGTGGCTGATGTACATAGCGATACATAGCTGTATGTAGGTCACAGCTGCTGGATAGTCAGCCAGTCCACATCTTGTATCATGTATATATAATGTATGTATATCTTTAGACTCAAACCTAGACTAATGCTTAGTCTCTGAATATTTATAATTTTGATAGTAACAAATATACTCATTTAAATTTAAAAGGAGCCCCAGTGAGATGGAGTTTCAGAACCTGAGGAAATCTAGACTTACTTCAATTAGAGCTTTAAATAGCACTTCAGGAAGGACTAGGCAGTAGGGAAAATAATGTGGTTCAGATACTGTGAGACAGACTAACTCAAACACAACCCTCCATGCCCCAGTTCGTCCCTGTTATGTGCCTGTTGTAGCCTAAAGTGCAAACACTGTTACACATACAGTATACATCACATACATGAGAGCTACAGCTTCGAGGGCCCATTATTACATTCCTGTGTAGATTTGACCTGTGATCTGATGGTTTGGAGCCCATTCAGCTTGGAAAATCTCTGTTCTCTCCATTAATGACACATGTAACTCACTGTGAACTAGATCGAGTAGATTCCTATGAATTGCAAGTTGTAAATCAGCACCAGTCAATTTTCCTTCATGCCTTAGTTCAAGTTTGAACTTTTTGTAATTGAGTCTTTGTTTTGACTGTAGTGAAGAGGGCATGTGGTGCCACAGCTAACAGTTTCCTCAAACACACTAAGGTTAAATCAAGGATTTACCAAACCTGCTCAGAGGCCAATATTCAGCCCCAAGTCTGCATTATAGGACTATGAATTCCCGATCGAATGAATAAAATCCCAATACCTCAAAGGTACAAAAAAACAAAGTGAATTTTGTACAATATCACAATTTTTTCTCAAATGGTAATTTGTCTGTAGTAAACTGAATTAATCGTTTCATGTTATTGCACTGAGCCATGTGATGGATTAATTTTCTGTTATAATACTATTAATAATATTATAGATAATATCAGTATCCACCTAGTGGCTCTCCAGGCCATCACCATAACTGCACACAACAGTCAGAGCTCCAGATAAGATTTAGCTCATGTGGGTATTATGAATGTTGAGTGGGTATGTCATTTTCCGTTACCCACTGCTTTCAAATATGTGCGTATTTCAGTCACTTTACTCACCTAAGTATTACGTCATTGAGTAAGTTTACTAAGCAGGTATGTTCTGCCTTATGTCATACCTAATCAAAACCAACTTAAATATAATGGAAATTATTTCATAAAAAATCACTCACCCTATACTGACATTACAACACTTGTCCTATACTAACAGTACAACTTGATAGCAATCAATGTCTTTTTCATTACGCAAGCGATTTTTATAAATATATTCCGTACGCATTTGTTTTAAACTTTTTGCGTATCTAACATTTTAAATGCGTAATTGGTACGCAACAATTATTTTTCAATGCGTAATTCTATGCGTATTTTACCCGGATACACAGCTTATCTGGCCCTCTGCAACAGGGTAATATAGATACGGATTAAGGTAGGCGTGCTATTCTACTTGATGTCAACTATGCAGGAAATGCCTCGCCTAATTGTTTAGTTTTCTGTTGCTATGGTTACATGGTTAATGTCAGTTATATGTAGGTAGGAAAGAAAAGCATACTATTCTTTAGTAAGTTTTAAGAATTACACACATATATGTTCTAAGAATACTCTAAAATGAGATAATGATTGTGTGTCAGTATCCCAGCACCAACACTGTTGTGTTGATAGAACAACACGAAGGGCCTGCGCAGTCGTTGAAGTGAATCGATTTGAACAAGGAATAACTTGTTTTGGACTAAAATCACACTTAAGAGTAATTTGGTGTATGCGATATAAGTCTTTTCAAACCATGTTTGAGTCTACTAGCCTGTTGTGCCCAGCAACAATCACCAAGCAATATTAACAAACTGTCTTCTTTAGCATACATTAACATAATCAATATCAGTGACAGTGACAGCATTAGGTGTAGAGTCAAGTGAAGTGTTTTGGGATTGCGAAACATTGTTCAAAACATCATTAGAAACGGGGCGGTGGGGTAGCCTAATGGTTAAAGCATTCACTGGTCATGCTGAAGACCCGGGTATAATTTTTAAAATTTCCTCACTTGGGTATAATGTGAGAAGCCCATTTCTGGTGTCCGCTGTCGTGATATTGTTGGAATATTGCTAAAAGTGGTGTTAAACGATACTCACTCTCTCATTAAAAACATTTAGACTCAGTAGTGCATTTGATCATGACTGTCTCATTTGTGTGCAGTATGTCAAAGCAGATGAAAAGGAATTATCTGAATTTCTGCCCGAATTTAAACATAATTTTCTAGGGTTATTTTTGTTGATCCCATTAATAGAAATAATCAAAGAAGGTTCTGATGGCTGAGCAATTGAATGCAAATTTTCCATAATCAACTGCAATCAGTTTTGCCCCCTCTCTCAAATTCTCAACAGCTGTAATCTTTCATGGTTTATTCATTACTTGCTACTTTGTGCTTGCAGAAAAAATAAGGATGGGTGTGGTCAGTATCCTTTTTCAAATATGCTGACATAAGTATTTGTGTTTGTGTCTGCAATGTATGATTGAAAACAGCATTAGTTTGCAAATTGAATAATTTTCATAATCAATCAGTTATGACAATCATCAATAATCATTTTACAACCAGTTCTCAAACGGAGATTTACAAAGTAGCTCTGTTATATATACCCACAATTCTCATGCATGTGGGTTTCATCAAACAAGAAACATTTCCAAGCTATGTCATTTTGGACTTTCCTTCCACATTGATCTCCACCTTGTGGCATGACTGAAGTACAGTTCCATCCAAAGCTGGGTTAATCCCAAGTCAGTGAAACATGCTAGTGTTATATGATCTGAAGTTATCACGTTTCCTGTGATGTAGTGTGTGGTGGGTTGTGTCCGTGTTAGTGAAGGACCAGTGCTGTAGAAACATGTCCTGGCACCTGGCAGTGTTGTACTGACTAATGAATGTGAATGCTGGCTTCTAGGATGGCGACGGGTTGTGTCCATGTTAGTGAAGGACCAGCGCTGTAAAGGCATGTCCTGGCACCTGGCAGTGTTGTACTGACTAATGAATGTGAATGCTGGCTTCTAGGCTGGCAGTGTGTGACAAAAAGGTCACTAAATGGCAGAGGCTTAACATACCTAAGGCCACCATTGGCCTATTTTTGAATAGTAAACAAATAGTAACAAATTAAAACTATCCTGTAAATTTGTAAATTAGTAAACTGGCTAACAGGATGTTGTCAGTGTAGAAATTAAGGGGCAATCTTAGGCAGGGCTCCAGATAAGGTCCGTATCGAAATATGCACGATACGGTAGGAAATAATTTAGAAAACGTAGCAGATATGCTACACAGCAATGGTGTATGGTCTTAAAATCATTTACAGACATATTTATCTGAAAAAGTATTGTTTTATTGGGTTTTTTTACCTGTTTACACAAGAGTAGCAATGTTGTGGTGCATATATGAAACGAAACACAAGATTACTGATACGCCATTAAATTCCATTCAGTACTCTAAATGTACTCTTAAGTTTTTCCAGTACTCCTATATTGAAAAAATAAGGAGTACGT